CCGCGGATGACGTGAACAACAATCATTCGGGGTGATGAGTCGGATGGTTGGTCGGATGTGGAGGCTCGGTTATGAGCCCCAGTCATTCATTACGAGCATACACGAACGGGGTCTCTGTCGTGCCAACGACGCGTATCGGTGCGTCTTCAAATCCCTATATGTACATACGGTTCCCATCTGAAAGGCTCAGGCTGCGCGATCCGCAGTTTCGTGATGGCCTCGTCGAGGGCGTACGCGATATCGTCGGGGTCGATGTGATCTGATTCGCTGCTGAATATGTTCTGATATATAGACCGAGCTATCTCCGGCCCGTCTGCATCCGCCATTGACCTGTGTAATCTTAACTGTGAGTAGGGATGAAAGAGTCGAGAAGCCCCAAATAAAACAAACCAGAGCGTAGCGACGATACTTTTGAAGCCTGCGAAAAACATAGCAGCAGCGAGGTGGACTACCTGATCAGGCTGTTTCTGGATGGGCGTGTCTGTGAGTCGCGTCATCGTGATGATAAGCGGAATCGATGCTCACAAAGTCCCCCTTGGCTGTTTCGCAGGCGCTCAAGAATGCTATAAACGCGGGCGGGAGCGGTACAGGCATGCGTCGTTCGATCGTCAATTTCTCATCACGCAGAATGGATCCGCTGTTCAGTGGGATCTCCAGATCTTGGTGGCCGTGGCACATCGTGGAAAACCTCGTCTTCGGAGAGGAGTCCGTGCCAAGGAAGGAGTTCAGAGCAACCGGCATCGCTCATTGTAGGCTTGTACTCACGGCCTCCTCCGTTGTACATTTCGAACCAATAACATATATTGGCGCATGCTCAAATCCCTAGGTGTATATACGGTGCCCATCGGAGCGGCTCAGGCTGGACGGTTCGCAGTTTCGTGACGGCCTCGTCGAGGGCGTACGCGATATCATCGGGGTCGATGTGATTCAAGTTGCTGCTGAATATCTTCTGGTATACAGATCGAGCTATCTCCGGCCCGTCCGCGTCCGCCATGGACCTTTGCAGTCGGTTGTAAGTCGATACCATAGAAGTGGGAAGCTGCAAACCGGGACTGACCACAGCGTAGCGATGACGCTTTTGAATCCCGCGAAGAACATGGCGGCGGCGAGATGGACCACCTGATCAGGCTGATTCTGCATGCGCACGTTGTTCAGTCGCACCATGATCTCGACTGGTATTGGTACTCACGAAGTCACCTTTGGCTGTTTCGCAAGCACTCAAGAATGCCATGAACGCGCGAGGGAGCGGTACAGGCATGAGTCGTTCGATCGTGAGTTCCTCGTCACGCAGAATGAATCCGCTCTGCAACGGATTCTCCAGATCTTGATGGCCATGGCACGCGAGGTGAAGGATGTTCGTCTGTGGGAGCAGCTTTAGCAGCGTCTCCGCCGTGATCCCGTTTCCGCCCTCAATGCAAGCGTCGTCTGCGGGAGACAGCTCTATTATGGATTCGCTTGGTAAGACCGCACGGATCGCTCTCGCTTCTTCGCGAGTGTTGATGAGGTCGCTCCACTGCGATATGCTAGACCGAGGCGTTGCAGCGACGAGCGCTTGCACGTCGTCCTTGAGGATGGGCAAATACGCGTTTCTGGCAGCAAGAAGGGACCCGATGGTCGGTATGTAGGAGGAGACGACATAATCTGAGCACCGCTCTCCGCCAGCACCGGCTGCATGGATCGGTAAGTGAACGAAGTTTCCAGTAGGGCACCACCATATGCGAGGACGGTTTCGACCTTCGGAGGGCTAGAAGCAACTGGTGAGCCTTATACCATGATAATGTAGAGGGTTATCTCATACCTCGAGCCCTAGAGCATTCATGACCGGTCTCACCACCTCAATCCATAACTGGCGCAAGATCTCCTCGGCACCCGCTCTTCGAGATTTCGAGATTTTCGATTTTTCTATCTTCCTGCAGTCGCGCATCTCCGCCCTCGCCTCCACGATGATTGACCGCCAATCCGCGCCTGAATGTGCGAGCCAGGTATCAGGGAGATGCTCGATAGGAATGCTGACACAGTCGCCCCCCTGCTTGAGAAGGACAGCGTGGCTCCCCAGCGCACTGGATACCAGCACTACGACCGGTCCTCTCTCGGAAGCCTTTCTCAGCGTCGTAAACTCGTCGTGCAGTAGGAATCTGTTCAGTCCAGGTTGTTTGCGAACCTGGTTGAGCAGCGCATTGTATTCTTCGATCTGACCTCTTCTCCGTGCGATGTCCGCTTCGACGGCACCCGGGTTCTCGCCCGTAAACGAGCTGTCGCGCACTTTCTCCAGCTGTCGGGCAAGGATCAACAACCTATCTCCGATCTCCTTGGGCGCCACGTCGAACGGAGAGCGCAAGCGTAGTGCATGGGTCCAGAAGACCGCACGGCCCTGCTCAAGGATTTCCAGAGCTTTCTGAGATGAGCCGATGTTGAGCGCGTGAGATGCGCCGGCGAGAGCGATGCTCTGGCCGATAGCTAGAGACTGGAGTCGGGTATGAAGATGAAGATCAAAGAAGGCCACTCGGGGCAGAAGTCCCACCACAAGAGCGAAGATATCCAGCAGTTGGCGATGTGCTGCGGCCTCAGAGGAGACGATATCCTGATATTGCGACACCACGATATCAAGTATGCGTCGTGCTCCTTCAATCCGAGAACGAACGTCCCGGTGTTCGTCGGATAGAGCACTGGCTAAATGCGAGAGTGCGACCCGGATACTCCGGTAAGGTGTTCCTATCTCCATGTGGAGTTCCGCTGTACTCACGAGGCATTGAAACCTCTCGGGACGGCCAGGGTGAAGGGTATCCAACAAGCCAGTGATAATCTCCAAGGCATCGTTCGCGTCTTTGTCGCTGCGATTGAAGCGAAATCTGACGATATGACAGTCGGCGAGGGTGCTCAGAAGCTCAGGACCCTCTGTTCGCTGAAGCATCACTTCCTTGATACGTGCTAGCTCCGAGATGGAGCGGTCGATGTCCGCAACGTTCCCTTGATGTCTCCCGCGGCGTAACAGAGCTTTTGACAGCTCGAGGATAACATTGGTGCGTTCCGCTTGATCGGAAGCCATCGTATCCAGGACGGTGTTGCCGAGGGTAATCGCTTCTTCCAAAGCCTCGAATGAGCCCCGAGCGTCAAATAACATGCAAAGACGGGAGACAGCTTGAGTAGAATTATCCGGATAGAACACGTTTGAGGTCCCACAGCTCGCCAGGGCCATACGATCCCATTCGATGGCTTCATCGAGATCAGAGAGCCGCCTTGTCTCGTTGAAGCGGAGCATCAGTGAATACGCCAGACCGCGAACGGGAATGAATCGCTGAGGGTGGGTAGTTGGAATTGAATCGATTGAAGAACGCCCGAGTTGAATAGATTGTTCGAGACAACTTATCTCTCCGGTCCAGTTGTACTGCAAACGCAATCCGACCGCCAAGTGTTCCAAGTACATCCAATAGTCTGCTCGGTTGGGAGGGCATAGTTGTAAGGCTTCCCGGCTCAGAGTGACTGACCTTTCGAGGTCGCGCCCATCAGATGGAGCGAGCTGATGGCGAAGGTCGAGAAGAACTGCTACCACACGGAGGCATCTGGCGCGCCCCAGTCCAGCACCAGAAACTTCTTTGAGAGTGTTCAGTCCAACTTCAATCGCTTTGTTGAGCTCATTGATAGCGCCAGAGTACAAAGTCTTCATATATAACGCCCAGAGCATCTCATTTACTGTCTTGCACCGATCAATGTGCATCTTTGGACATAAGTGCATGGCCTGCGCGGAAACATCAAGGCATCGGGCCAAATCTTCTGGTCTTCCGAGAATGTAGTATCGGTAGCGTAGATGCATCCCTAGGAGTCGCAGGTGTCGATGTTGATCGTAACAATGAGATGGAGGCAGGTCAACCAAGGCCTGTCGCTGGACGTCGACTGCTTCATTGATCAAAGTACGAGGCCCGTTAATTCTGGATAAGCTCCCCAGAATCAATGCCAGATTAAGGCGAATAGTTGCTGCCAAGTGGGTTCCCGTCGCGCAGAGTGAGATGGCTTCTCTGCAGAGCGACTCTGCAACGGTCCTATCTTCTTTCCGGGAAACGGCGTCTGCATTGTTATTTAAGATTCTGGAGAAGAGCCCCAGTACTGTAGGGCAACGTATCCCAGCTGTGCGGCACATAGACAGGGCTTCTTTCCCATATTTTACCGCAAGCTCCAGATCGCATTGCTCGTAATTGTGCCTATAGCGATCCACGTATAGATCAGCCAGCCGAATGAGTATGTGATATAGCTTTGGGCAGGGGTCGGGCGAAACGTCCAGGTTTGAATTTGGGATCAAAGAGCTGAAGAAAATTGGTTCCTTCGTCTCCGATAGGAGCGCCTCGTATTGCTCGATGCACTGCTGTGCGGCGTCGACATCGCTATTCTGGCAGAATTTCTGGTGAAGCTGGAATGCTAGATCGCAGCGCTCATTCGTATCAGATGGCACGGCTGCTGCAAGGTGTAGTTGGATAACATTCAAAGCAACAGAGAAAAACACGACTTACTTGCGCACTGGCAGATCTCCTGGCCGCAATAGATGTTGCTATCGTCTTTTCTATGAATGGATGCGTCTGCTGTGACTACTTCTGTGTGTGGTCAAGGAACGAGTGAATATGACCGCCAGTCGAGTATACCACGGCAGAAAAAAGGGGACAGACATACCAGTTGTCGTGACCGCCTCGCATGTATCTTGCATGTCCGTTTGCCTTGCTCATTGTATCGGCAGATCCGCTTATATAGACGTTTCTACCGCGAGGCGCGATAAACATAGGACCGCGCTGGCAGAAAAATAGATCCAAACAGAATTCCCAGATGTCTGACGGTTGACGAGGCGTAAGATCGCACTTGAGCACCTGGTCCACGTTGGAGGAATCATGGAGGACTCCACGGAGCCCCATATTTTAGACTTTCCGCACCGCGCCGCAGGCCAACAGAATGTGATGATTGAACTATGTCGGATAAAACACCCATCATACACCGCTGTGCTTTCGGTAATTCGAACGCATCCATAGACTGCTCGAGCGCCGATCAGCTGAGAGATAGCAAAAAGGAATAAGGCAAGCTATATTTGGATTACCCGGTGAGGCGACCGGAATACCCGATCAGACCGAGCTGTTCACAGCGGTGCAATAGATATGAATACTCCTTGATTGCGACGGTGGCACGGTGCGATGCATGCAGTACTACCGCATACTGAGATAGATGCAGAAGCACGCGCGCTCGATGAAGGAGCTCCGCCTGATCGTGCCCTTGAACCCGTAAGCGCAGCACGCAATGAATGCTGGGCGTCCGCCGATACCTCAGCATCACCTTAGGCAGCGACGTCGCTGATGAGCTGTGCGGCTCGCGCTCAACGCGCAGATCCATGAATCCAGTTTGAACGAAAACTGATCTGGTTTGGGTGCGATGAGATGAGCATGAACGCGCAGCCTGAGCCAAGGGCGCTGCCAAATCGGGGGGTCCCATGGGCCACGGGCGAGCTGGTAAGTGTTACAGGTTCCTCCTCTGATAATAAAACGTCTGAAATCGTGCTTCGGCGGGGCGCCCGTCAGTATTTCTCAACATTGCGTTGCTGACGGCGTCCGCGGCAGCAACGGCGGAAATCCCGGAGACGAGACTGCCAAGCATCATGATGAAGAAGATCAAGGCGATCAAAGCCACAAGAGGACCAAACCGTATTCGAAGACCGTACATCAAGTCGAAGTGCGCAGGAGATGGAGAAGATGCACTTTGTCGCGGACATCAACACTGGGCGCCGGATGCATCTACGAGCAGGTCACCTCGAGGCCGCCTATAAATGTCCGTAGAATTGGAGGAGATGACACGTCAAAAAGGACGGGGGCCCCCTTCGCACAACTTTTCGTCCGGACCCTCCCCCCCAGAACCGACAGAATTGATACTGGGCTCCTAACGCGCGTTATTTGGTTGAAATAGTCCAGGTGATAATCAAATGCCTGCATTGCATATAGCAGCGGACGACGACGGCCGGTGGGGGTCTTCGACGAGTTCCAGATCTTCGAGACGCAGTGCTTTCACCGCAGTTATATTCGCTTTCGATTATACAAACATTAGATTGGCGCGAAGGCAAGAACTTTCTGAACGGGTTTCAATGTTGCATCTCGCCCTCTAGCGAGTTAAGGCTGACGATTATTATCAGGAATCTGGCTCTAAACAGCGGAAGTAACGAGCTCACAAGGCAACACCCTTCGCACGGTAATCATCATCCTCGACGTAGCTTCCCTTGCGCTTGAACACCACGTTCTTCTTCTGATGGCGATAACTTGGCCATTGTGGAGCTCCCTTGACGCCGCTATGGTTGGGGTCCAGATTGTAGACGAAGGATATCCTGAGATCACAGACACACATCAATCAGTCGAGAGTGACACCGACGTCGCGCCCTCTGGCGCACCAGTAGCTGGTCATGAGCTTCGCGAGTTCGGCATCGCCGGGACGGGTAGAGAGCGAGTTCTGCGTCGGGAGCGGGTTGCTGAACACGAACGCGACTTCCTGGAAATGCGTTACACCGTACTCGACCGTCGAGTTGTCGGGCGCCTGCGCGAAGTGGTACGAGTAGACGTCATGCGACGATGCGACACTCTCCGCCAACAGTCGGCGCTGGAAGTACTAGTGTTAGCATCTACAAATGAGATGAAGAATCGAGATTGCGTACCCCAGCGTGCATGTATATATCACCCCAGATGCTCAGCGCCCGCTTGTCTTGCGTCCCGGTGGAAAGGATACCGTCGCCAGTGTTGTACGGGCATCCGATTGACGGGTCGTCAGGGTAATATTCGAGGATCTTGCTGATGCTATCGTTGCTCAGGTGTGCGTACTGCGTTGCCAGTGCCTCCGCGATGGACGTCTCGTTGTTCAGCCCCCGAGGTCCGAAGGTCGCGCCTTCGTCGAGGTTGGCTGGCGCGAAGTGGATCAGCTTCCGGAACAGGTCCTCTGTGAATACCCCTCCGGCTCACCTCCAAGCAACAAAGGCACCTTGATGAATCTGCCCCGCTTCAACGTCGCGGTCACGCTGCCCTTGATGAACGTGCCGTCCACAACCGGGCCCCACGCGAGCGTGTCCGTCCCGTTCGTAGCGTTCACGAACGCTTCCAATGGCGCGCTCCTGAGGCATGCCAAAACATCCGTGGCGTTGCCGCATCCCGCACCGGCGGCGGCGGCGTCGAATTGGGGTTGATAGTCCGCCGGCGTGAGGTAGTTCCACGTCGAGGGCGAGCCGGATTCGAGTATGCCGGCGCGGAAGAGGTGAGTGGAGGTCTGGCCATAGGCGAGGAGTTGAAGGGAGATGCTGATGGCGCCCGCGCTGGTGTTACCGTCAGCAATGCGCCGGGAGCGAAGACAAGGGAGCAGGATACAGACCTCTCGCCCATGATGGTAACCTTGGACGGGTCGCCGCCGAAGGCGTGAATATTTTCGTGAATCCACCTCAGAGCGAGATACTACGGGAGAACATAAATGAGCACCTTCGGTACGGATCAACAGTCGTGCTTTTTTACCTGGTCGAGAAGACCAAAGTTGCCTACGCCCTCTGCGGCAAGCTCCTTTGACCACATGAATCCGAAGGCAGTAACACGATAATTGAAGCTCGCAAAGACCTAGAATGTCATCGTCATTCTCACGACACGAGGAACGATGTTAGGTACGTACGATGGGCTGGCCCATCTCCACGCTGCGTTGCACGATCCATGTAGCATTGTAACGATGATCCGCGCTTCCACCCATACTGAACCCTCCTCCGCTGGTGAGCTTTGGATTAGCCGGCCGAAGGGCGCATATATGCAGGCGAACTCACTAGATCCAGACCATCACTGGGAGGTTGCTGCCTTCTAACGCCCTGACGGACGCACGACGTTCATCGTCAGACAAGCCTCGCTGA